ACAGTGCCTGTGCAATCAGACACGGTGATGCGTTAGTTGTTCTGCCAAACTGTTTTCTTCTTTCTTTTTAATTTTTGTTAATTAATCAATAAACATTAAGTGTCTACTATATGCCAGGTACTGTGCCAGGTGCAGGAGACATAAAAAAGGCAAAAGACAATCCCTGCTTTCAGGGAGCTTACAATTTAATGAGGCACAAGAGTTTTCTGAATAAGGGAGGAGGGCATATTCAAAAATGAATGAAATTTAAAGCAAAATGATGAATTTTTTTTAAAGAACTAAATGTTTGGTGTTGTAGGGGAAGAGAAAGGAAAAACAGCAGTTTGAGAACATAGCAGGGTCAAGGGGAAATGTGGGCTGCTTTTTTATAGGCAAAGGGAAAGGAACCAATAGAGAGGTGATAATAATAGCTGACATTTAAATAGCACCTGCTATGTTCCAGACACTGAGATAAGCACTTTACAATTATTATCTCATTTGATTCTCACAACCACCCCTGCAAGGTAGGTGCTATTATTATCCCCATTTTACAGATAAGGAAACTGAGGCAAAACTTGCCTAAGGTCACACAGGTAGCAAGCGTCTGAGGCTGAATTCGAACCCAAGTCTTCCTGACTCCAGGTTCTGTCCCCTGCCTCTGTAGGCTGGAGGTTGAAAGAAAACGTGGAGATGATCATTGATGAGGGTTCTAGAGAAGAGGGGAACCTGGCACACCTGAGTGGGAGCTGAGGAGCTCGGTGAGGACAAGGTTATAAGAGGAAGCACTCCCAGGGTTACAGAATCTTTGAGAATGGTGGCACGGGAAGAGGTGGGGGGAGGGAGTGCTCTGCCAGGTGCTGAGGGGGCTAATAAAGGTGGGCAAATGCCCTAAAGACCAGTGGATGACAGCAACGAGGACTGTGGGGGGGGGGACAATCAATCAATATCAGAAAAAGGCATTTAATAGCTTAATAGATTACCATGATTAAAAGAAAAGCAGCCCCAGGAGCAGACGACCCCAAGTGAATCCTAGAAGACTTTTGGTTCTCAATCTTTGTTCTTGAATAGGACCAAAATGCATCACTGTGTTAGAGTCAAGGTACAGTGTGTCCAACTGTGGCTGATCAGACCAGGCACAAATAGTCCATGCAAACATTTGGGGTGGATTCTCTAAATTTGCGCATCTCCTGTTAGAGCCAATAGCCACTAGGTTATGTCAATAATAGTTGTCGCAGGGCGGTCCCTCCCTTTCTGGGACCCCGGTAGCTACTTGAGGTTGTAGGCATTTTGTGGTTAGAGTCCTCTCCAAATCCCACGTCATGAGCCCCCATCAAGGCGTTTTATTTTTACTAGTCAGTCACAGAACACAGACCCCCTCCTTTCTTCTACACGTGGAAACTAAATCCCAGAAAGGCTCCATGGAAGCCCAGTGTCACACTTGCGGTGAGTTTCAGAGCCAAGATTAGTATGCAGGTCCTTTGACTCTGAATCTCCTGCTCCACACCCCATTCAGACAAGGGTCCAACTAGCTCCTGATGCCAGAAAATTGGGTTAGGTTAATTAAGGGGTCCTGGGCTCCCAACCCTCATGCCCATGTCCTTTCAGAAAGACACAAAGACACCAAGTGAGGGTAGAAGCCATTTGGGGTAATGGGTAGGGGACTTCATAAAATCTTTATGTTCAGGGGCAGCCAGGTGTCACAGTGGATAGAGCACCGGCCCTGAAGTCAGGAGGACCTGAATTCAAATCTGGCCTCAGACCAAACACTTGACACTTACTAGCTGTGTGACCCTGGGCAAGTCATTTAACCCCTAATTGCTTAAAAAATAAAAATTTTTTAAAAATCTTTATGTTCGAAAGAAAGTTGCTGATTTTGCAAGGGATGGTTAGTTAAGCAAGGAGGCTCTGCCTCTCCTAAAAACCATGAAAAGCACAAATGGCTCCTTGGAGACATCTTTTGAGCCTCCACCTTCAAACTACCTGACTCAGCTATGTTTGTTTAAGAAAGATGAGTTTACTGAGGCCACTGAAAAAACTCCCCAGAAAATCTACTTCAGAGGGTTAAGGACCTGCTATCCAGACTATATACATTTTCCTTTGTTTATAGAATTTAAGCCTGTTCAATTTAATTTAAGTCTGTTTAAGCCCTGAGGTCCACTGAGCTCACAGGGGAGTTGGGCATTCAGTGAATAAAGTCAATGCAGCATTAATTAAGTGCCAATGGCATGCATTGCTCCCTATCAGCATTCTTCATAATGGCAATGGAGAAGCTGGCATGTGCCTGTTTAAGGCTGGCATCACAGAGGACAATCAAGTTCTATTGCCTAGCATCTCTTGGGGCCATGGTTGTCAACAGAATACCAGGATGGAAGGATGCCATATTGTGGGTCAGACCCAGTTTGGCTAATCCAATATGGCTCCTGTCTCTCCCTTCTCCAATCCATCTAATACTCTTTCCCAGAGGCCATTTGGTCTGACCCTCTTATTCTATGGGGTGGGGGGGGGAATGAGGCCCAGAGAGAAAGTGACTTGTCCAAGGTCACACAGCTAGGGCGCAGCAGAGTCACAATGCAAACCAAAGTCGTCTGATGCCAAGCCCACTCTCTATCACACCATGCACCACCATCCTTTTACTTACCTGAGTCTAGTTGGTTATGCCCCCCTCAGCTGTCCTGGGAGGACCCTGTGAAGACCTTCCTAGAGCATCAGGGAGAGACAAGGTGAGCGGGGTGAACACCACGGCAACACCTCTCTCTGGCCTCAGTTTCCTTGTCTATGATGTGGTCTGGTTAGACCAAGTGATGCCCAAGGTCCCTTCCTGCCATGAACTGATAAGGTTCTATACCAGGCAGTCAGGGCCAGGTAACACCAGTTCTCTGACACCAAGGACCACCCTTAGACCAGGGTTCAGATCCACAGATGGGATGGGCAGTCTCTCTGGTAGAGATGGTCTGGACTCAGGCCTCTGAGAGCAGGCATGCCAATGGTCAGACACCTTCCTTCCAGGGCTGTGATTTCACAGGTTTGCCAACACAGATCACAGCCCCTGGCAACCCAGGAGAGATCCTGAGACCATGGACGTTCCCCTGTAGCACGGCTTCCCAGGTTGCGCTCCTCCCCACCTCCATTGGCTGCACCTCAGGGGGCAGATGTGTGCACAGTCAGACTTGTGGCCTCTGGGCCACGTGCAAAGCCCTTCCTAGCTTGGAAGCCACAGCCAGAACCAGCTTTCCTTGGCAGAGCTACCCAATGGTCATTATTTTTTAATGATTGAGTCCCAATGCAGTTATTAAAAACCAATTCCTTTAATAAAGCACTCTGCTCTGGAAGCCCCGAAAGTATGAACTTAATTTTTTTAATTCAGTGCCTGTCAAGTAAGTGGAGGTGACTTTTTAAATTAACTTGGTTTGGGCTCCGTGGTTTCTGCCACGGTCTCGGCCTCTTCTGTCTGCAGCTGTGCTGTCTGTAAGCATTTCCATGTGAATCTTTCCTTTAACTATTTACATATAGTTAACAAAAGCACAAGCCATCACAGAACCTGGCCTTCTCTCTGCCATGGGCATGATAAAGCCAGCCCTTCCCTGCACCATCTTAATGCCCACAGCCCCAGAGAGCTGAAAGACAGCCACGTGCTGCTGAGAGCGGACAAGCGGGCACAGCCACCCTCCTTCCCTGCTGTCTGCACTGAGTGTTCCACTGGGGCTGAGGGTTCAGAGAGACTGGGCTGAAGGGATTGTGTAACTTTGGTTTTGATGGGGTTAGAGTCATTTGTGACCTTCAACCCCGGGGGTCCCAACGTTGGACATAAAAAATAATCAATGTCAGGGTCAGGTCAGTAGCACAACAGATAGAGCTCTGATCCTGGAGTCAGGAGGACCTGAGTTCAAATGTGGCCTTAGACACTTCCTAGCTGTGTGACCCTGAGCAAGTCACTTCACCTCAGTTGCCTCCTAAAGAAATAAATAACTGATGTCTCAATTTGTATGGACAGTGGCAGAGAGAATATTTGTTTTTTAAGCCATAACTAGGTTAAATTGAAAGGAAAAAAGAAAGAGTAAATATTAATAATCAATGTCCCAATAGTGAAATAAACATGAGAGTTGGGATTGCACAGTGGGAAGATCCTCCTGGCTCTTGGAGTGCACCAAGCTGAGCCCGGGTCCCAGCTTTGCTACTTCCTGCCTGTGTAACCCTAGGCAAGTCAGTTTATATCGCTGGGCCTCAGTTTCCTTCTCTGTCAAAGAAAAGAGCTGGACTAGACGGTCTCCAAAGTCCCTTCTATCTTGAAATCTGCTCCTGTAGTCAAGTCCTAGTGTGAAGCCCGAGCACACCAGGCTGAGGGCATACACCTTCACACAGGCTCTCCCAGTGGGGCCTTCTCCAGGGGAGGGGCAGGTGGCTGAGAAGCTCTCCAGGCAAGCTCCATCACCAGGTGTCTTCGAGGAGTTCCAAACTCATGGCACAGAGACCAAAGCATTAAGCAATCAGTCAACCAGCATTCACTTATCAGGGGCTTGCTATGTGCCCACTGTATACCTATACAATGCAGTGGATTTTAAAACAAAATTCTCAAAAAAAAAAAAGAAAGAAAGAAGAAAGAGAAGAGGGAGGGAAGGAAGGAAGGAAGGAAGGAAGGAAGGAAGGAAGGAAGGAAGGAAGGAAGGAAGGAAGGAAGGAAGGAAGGAAGGAAGGAAGGAAGGAAGGAAAGAAGGGAGAAAAGAAAGAGGGAGAGAGAAAGAAAAAGAAAGAAGGAAGAAAAGGAAGAAAGGAAGGACTGATCAACAACTAATGAGTAGCTAGCATTGTACTTAGGACAGTGGATACTGAGAAAGGCAAAAAAAAAAAAACCCAGTCCCTGCCCTCCAGGGGCTTACATTCTAATGGGGAAGATGAAAAATGGCAGCGAGTCAACGAGGAAGTCAGGACTACCCTCCCAACCGCCGTGCCAGCCTCGGTTCCGCCTCCCCCCTCCCACCCCCAGCCCACCTCCTTCTGACCGCCGGCCGTGGTTCTGTTGGCAGGGAATGCCTACCGAGAATGCATGGGCAATGGGACCTGGGCCTCCCGGATCAACTATTCCCAGTGTGAGCCCATCTTGGACGACAAGGTGAGTGTGCCCTCCCCCACACACGCGGGAGGACACAAGCCCTCCCCGAAGCCTTGTGGGCAGACGCTTCTGTTGTAGAACTCCCAAGGGGTGTTCACTCGAAAGCTTTTCCTCGGCCCCCGTGGGGGTGCCGCCCTGCACGGTGCCCGGTCATGCAGGAGACAGGAGGGAGGGTCACATTCTGTTTAGGGAGATGGGGAGTAATGCAAGCCCCAGGGAGGAGCTCTAGCAGAACAGAGCCCGCTTCCCCTCACACCGCATGGTCCCAGGGAGGTGGACGACAAGCAGACAGAGGGGGCCAGGAGGCCTCTTCTGGCAAAGACACCCACAAGGAAATTTATTTCAGTATTTTATACAGAACCCCGCCCCATTTCTGACCACAGATAAAAATAAAAGATCACCTCTCTTAGTCCCCAGACATGAATCGAAAGACTTGAGGCTCTTTCCAGTAATTAAGTCTACCCTCAAATAATGACCTTCAAGGACAGAGATCTGTTACCGCTGAAGGATAGTGTGGTAGGAAAAGAGAAGACTTAGAAGCCGGAGCCCTGGGTTCAAATCTCCCCTGGCTTCTTCCTTAGGTCTGCCTCGCCCCCAGCAGCAGGATGCTGCCCAGTGCCTTAACTAGGCTGTGCCTCAATCTCCTCATTCATTAAAGATAGATAATAACCCTGACGCTCCGCAATCAGATCACATATGCAAAGCTATCTAAAAGGGCTCGTTAAATCATTAGAGAAATGTGGGTTCTTTATTATCATGATTCCCTGCCTCGAAGGCTCCCGGAGAAAGCACTTTGTCAACCTCACAGTGCCATGCACTTGTGGGCTAGCAGACGTTTAACAACTGACTCTCAAGAGAGGGACTCAGGACAGACGTTGCCATTGCATCTGAACCGATTATTGCTGTTTTCTCCTTCGCTTCCTTAAATCCAGACGACGAACAGACAATAAACGGAGCCCTGATTTGTATTTTCTGTTGTCACCTGGGGCTTGCCATTGACCATCTCTGGGACCCTCAGCTTCCTGTCGCTCATGTCTAGGGGAGGGGCCCGGGAGGGGCGGCACAAGACAGTCTCGGAGGTTCCTTCCGGGTCTCAGTCTTGTGAGCCTCTGTCTGTCAGCCCTGCAGTTATGGGTCTGAAGTAAGGTCAGGGCAGGAGCTCTTTAAACGTCCCCAGACCAGACGTTTGCTCAGTCCAATCCGATCAGGGGAGGCTTCATTGAGCTAAGCCTTCAAGGTTAGGAAGGCAAGGATGAAGTGAGGGCAAAAGAATCCTAAGGGATGAGAACGGCATTACCACACACAAGATGGCAACAGGGCCAAGGGTGTTGAGAGGGATTTCTATAGCCCGAAAGCCTTTCTCATCCAAGATCTCACTAATTCAGCAAATGCCTTGTGAGATAGGCAGAAAGGGTAAACTGAGGCCCAGAGGAGTCGTGTGACTTCACCAAGGTGGCACAGCACGTTAATGTTACAGCCGAGATTAAAGATTTGGCATCTGGCCTCCAGCCTAGTGTCCCCCCTACCAGCGGACTGCTCTGGTCCCAGAGTGTGGAGGAGTGCCTGCCTCGCCTCAGAAAGACTCCAGAAGGAAACTCTGTCTGGGAGTCTTGAGTCTGGGCCTGAGTGGGTCTCTGGGGAGTCGGGAGCAGGGAGAACAGCGTCCTCGCTGGCACCTGCACCCCCGAGGACCAGATCGTCTCTCCATCCCCCCGCCTCTGCATCCGTCTGTCTGTGTGTCTGTCTGTGTGTCTCCCCACAGAGGAAATACGACGTGCACTACGAGATAGCACTCATCATCAACTACCTCGGTCACTGCGCGTCCATGGGGGCTCTCCTCGCCGCCTTCCTGCTCTTTCTCGGCTTACAGTGAGTCACGGCTCCTCTCCCGCTCACACCAGCCCCTTGCTCAAGGGCTCTCTCTCTGTCTCTGTCGGTCTGCTTCTTCAGTCTCTGTCCTTGTGTCTCTGTGACTCACTGTCTCTGTCTCTTTCTCAGCCTCCTTCTCCCCATGTCCCTTCTCTTCTGGCTCCTTCACTCCTCTGACTTCTCTATTCCCCTCTCCCATTCCCTCCCCCAGGCTTTTGGTCCTGGAGGGGATAGGGAACCACTGGAGTTCACTGAGTCGGGGGGAGGAGAGTGACAAGGGCAGACTCGGGCTCTAGGAAGATCTCTCGGGCGGCTGAGTGGAGGATGAGCATGCCGGGCTGTGGCGGCCTCCCCGACTGGGGTCTCAAGCCTCTTCCTTCACTACCTTTGCCTCCCCACGCAGGAGCATCCGCTGCCTCCGGAATATCATTCACTGGAACCTCATCACGACTTTCATCCTCCGGAACATCCTCTGGTTCCTCCTGCAGCTGATTGACCACACGGTCCACGAGAACAATGAGGTACTGGGGCACTGGCCGGTTTCCAGGACTCTTGTGGGATGCAGTGAGAGGCACAGCACAAAGGCCAGCGACCTTTAATGGAGGCCAGTGAGCTGAACTCTGATTCCCCGCCCGACTCTAGGACATAGTATGCACAGGGCTGCTTGGGGGCATTTAGAAGGAGAGCAGGGATATCAGTCCACGAAGTAACCAAGAGACCCCTGTCAGGAGACACAAACTAAGCCCGAGCCTGGCCAAAGGTGAATCCCTAACCTGAGCCACACAAAACCCTTCTCTGCCCCGGAAGATCAATGTTCCCAGAAGACACATGTGGCTCATCTAGTGCCTGTCCCCAGTCAGAGATCTAGAGATGAAGGGACCCCAGAGGGCATCCAGCTTAGCCCCCTCATTTCCCACATGAGGAAACTGACCCCCATGTAGATGAAGGTGCTTTGTCCAAAGTCACATAAGCATCGGAGATTCTCCATCCAGGAGCCTGGCCCCATCCCCTGCTTCTGTGCTGTGTTAGTATACAAAAACCAGAAAAGCAGCTTATTATGGAAAACTGTGAACCCCTTGGAATTTTTTTAAAGAGTATATTAAATTTGATGAAATTGTGCCAATGCTGCCCTACCTGACTGTCCCTTTCTGAGCTTCCTTTTGCTCTCTTCTATGTATTTGGTTAATGTTTTATTGACACTGTTCTTTTTCTTCTTTTTTTTGTATCATTATCACACACACACACACACACACACACACACACACATGTACCTCTCCCCTTCCCTCAAATATGAGTCCTCCCTTGTACCAAGTGAGCAGAATGGAGCAAAACAAACTCCCCGAAAGGCCATACCCCCAAGCAGAAGCCATCCCTCTCTAGCAGGAGGGAAGACACCCTTCACGGGTCCTTTGGAACCCTGACTGGTCTTTGTATTGATCATAATCCTTAAGTCTTTTGAAGCTGTTTGTGTTTGCAGGGTTGTTTTGTGAATTATTCTCCTGCTTCTGCTCACTTCACCTGGCATCACTGCATACAAGATTATTGATCCAGCGAGGTCGTGGAGGGGGTAGGAGGGGAGGGGCTTGGAAGCTAAGGGGTTAGCCTTGGCAAGAAGGAATGTTTCCCTCTGAAAGGAGGGGAGAACAATGTGGGAGGGCACTGAGAATTGTTGGCATGTGGAGGGCTGGACTCGAGAGTTGGAATTCCTGCCTCACAGTCTCCATCTTAGTCAAGAAGGACAGTCAAAGATCTACATTAAGTTTGTTAGGGGAATGGTGAGGTGGGAGGCCCAGGCAGAGAAGAAAAAGGTCTGGAACACTTGCTTTATAACATGAAATCAGGAATTAGTCATTGTAGACTAGGATTGCTGAGATGTAGGACTAAGACTGAAGTGATGTAGGTGAAATCTGATTGCTTGAAATCCAACAGACATTTGTTAAGCACCTAGTAAGAGCCAAGGACTGAGGGTCCAATGATAAAAATGATGATGTCTAAGGCCCCTTCCAGCTTGAAGATTCCACTAAGAGATAGCTGCAAGTGTTGACAGCTGCCCCTCCATTGATCCTCTCTCCCCACCCTGTCAGGCTTGGTGTCGATGCATCACCACCATCTTCAACTACTTTGTGGTGACCAACTTCTTCTGGATGTTTGTTGAAGGCTGCTACCTACACACAGCCATTGTCATGACCTACTCTACAGACAAGTTGAGGAAATGGGTCTTCCTGTTCATTGGATGGTGTAAGTGGTGGGTTGCAATGGGGGGGGTTGTCCTGGGCTACCCCCAAGGCTGAGGGAAAGGTTCTTCCCCATCATCTTCTATGTATTGTACTACTTACCTACAATCCAGGCCAAGAGCTCAGGTCATCTTTCCACTGGATAGTTCCACTTGATTATTTGTGCTGAGTGGGGGAACAGAAGCATGGATAATCCAAACACAAGAGACATGCCCCAAATCATGGCTAATCAAAAAAATTCTTGCCTGGCTTGAGAATGCTACCAGAGGCTCCTACACACACACACACACACACACACACACACACACACACACACACACACACACATTCCAGCAATGAGATATCTCCTTTCCCTCCATGCCCATTTGTGACCCCATTTTACTTCAAACTTATGTTGGTCTGGAATCTGGCCAAATGGAAGAGAAAATTCAGGAGTATAGCTGTGTACTCCATTCATGGGGTGGACAAGTGGATACGTGAAAGATGTCTTTGCCCATTGTGCTAGTCATTCCGAAGTCATTCATCATATAGATGCCTATCATAGTCCTAATGCCTGTCTCTCTTTCAGTCATTCCCTGCCCCATCATCATCGCCTGGGCCATTGGCAAACACTACTATGAAGATGAGCAGTGAGTGAAATAACTTGTATTCAAGCGTGTGCGTGTGTGTCCTTGAGTCCATTCCTATTTATCTCTGCGAACAGAGGGAAAGCAGTAGGAGAGAAAGATCAAATGTTCATTAATCCAGACCTGATCTCTGCTTGGTTCGGGAAGGCAGAGCATTGTATAGCTCATAGAGCTGGCATTAGTAGGGACCTTAGAGGCCACGTAGCCCAATCCCTTCACTTTACAGATAAGGAGACTGAGGTGCAAAAGGACAAAGGCGCTGCTGACAGTGTCACAGGCAGTAAGTAGCCCCCTCCTCTAGCATTTCACTTATTGGCCTGCTTTGGCTGGGGGCCAGGGAGGCAGGCCTGATGCACTTTTCTGACTCCATCTTTCAAATAGATGCTAGAATGACATTATTCAAAGAGTTGGCAGCAAACTTAGCAGTAGGCAAGGCTGAGACACGAAGCAAGGTCCCACCATGTTGGGATCTGGGGGAAATGCCCACAGATAATCCATATTGGAGGTAATTGGGAGCTAGTTGGAGAGACTCCTCTTATACATCATATATACGCATGGGGTGGGGGGAGAATTGTTGCTGCCAGAACAAACCAAAGCCAAACCCAAATGAGAAGTTTTGGAACCAAGGAAGGTTTCTTGAGTTTGTCAGTGAGGGAGGCCCACCTGCAGGGCACAAAAGGATAAAGCTTATACAACATAGATTCCCATTTAGGCAGGAAGTGAATTGGGCATGGGGTACCTTCGGATTAGACCAGGCTTGTTGCTGGGAGCTTGCAGGATAGGAAGAGGGGTGGACAAGACCCATTGTTGGGGCTAGTAACAGGAAGTCTCTTCTTCAGGTCAGCTATCGCAGGTAACCCTGCCCAGCAGATAGGACTGTCCTCGCCAAACAGAAAGGAAGGTAGATGGCAGGGCTGGAGCTGCCACACAAGCAGGGTCAGGGCAGCTGGAGGGGGTAGTGTATGCAGCAAGTGTAGCCTCAGTTCTCCAAGACTGACATGTGCTGAGTTCTTCCAGGCATAGATGTGGAAAAGCTCCACGGCTGGCCGGAAAGGCCACAGGCTATCATGCTATTTGAACCTGGGTTTGAATCATGACCCTGGGCCAAGGTGGGCAGCCCTGGGCACATTATAACTCTGAGTCTCAGTTTCCTCACGCCTCCAGAACTTACTTCACAGGCTTGCGTAAGGGTCAAACGAGATGAGATGTGTGCAGTGGTTTTCACATTCCAAAGCACTAGACGCATGCCTGGTGTTGCTGTGGGTCTTCTTGCTGTTGGTAAACTCTGCTGCCAACACACGCTGGACTGGGCACTGGTGAAAGCATGTGGTGTGACTACAGACATGCCACTTAAGTTCCTGGTTTGCACGCTGCATTCCACGGGCGAGTGGCTCTGAGGCTACGGTCAGCGGCGGCTGAACTTTTAACCTTCAGTGAGCACTTGTGTGAGTCCAGATCTACACCACAAGCCTAGGTTTGTGAACATCCCCCTTTAAAAATACCACGTTGTGTGGGGATGAGGCAGATAGATGATCACTTGGGACCCGGAATCAAAGGGCACATTCCTGAAAAATGGCCTACTGAGGCAGCGAGGTGGCAGAACACTGGACTCGGAGTCTCAAAGACCTGGATTCAAATGTGACCTCAGATACTTACTAGCTGTGTGATCCTGGGCAAGTCACTTAACTTATGTCAGCCTCAGTTTCCTTCTCTGTAAAGAGAGGATAATAACAGTACCTTTTTTACAGAGTTGTTGTGAGGACCAAATGAGCTAACACATGCACAGCACTTTGCAAACCTTAAAGAACTATGGAAATGTTAGCTATCATCATCAATGTTATCATTGCAGTGTGAGCCGTGGTGTTTCTGTGAGAACTGGAATTTCCTTTTCAAGTTAAGTCTACCTAATGACACACGCAGGGAGGTGCCCCCCAGGGGACTGGAAAAAAAGGCCTCAGTGCTTTCCTAGGGTTTGCCATGCCTTGTCATCAGCCCTGATTCTGAATGTGATCCATGTGCTACACCTACTTGAGTCACCGGGGGCACCAGCAGATTCTATTCTTGATCTTTGGCTCCAGGAGATATGCAGAGCACGGGGCATCATGATGGGTCAGCAAGTCCTCCTGCTGTAGTGAGGAGGGCCTATGACACTCCTGAAGGACCTGCGCTTCTTTATGGCTCCTCTCTGGGCCTCAGGGGGACTCAGGCTCCAAATGTGCTGAAAGTGCATCCAGGTACATGGGTCACCTACGCAGAGATGGAATGTGATGTGACAATAGCAGCACCCTCATTGGGTCCTGACAACCTGATAATATCTGGGTCTCCCTAAAGTCAATTCAATTCTTTCAGTCCATTAATACTACAACGGGCAGTTTAGATACCTCCAGGCGGTGGTGGTAACTGCCCATCTCCAGGGCAGCCCTCATGGTCCTGGTCTCTCTCTTGTAATTCCTCTCTATGGAAGTTACCAGGCTTGTCATCTACCATGGACCCTGGTAGGGCCTCTCTTCCCAGTAAAAGCACTAATGGAGACCCTCAAGACATCTGTCTCCACAAAGAGCCACTAGTAAGAAGCTGTAGCTGCAGAGTCCTTGTCTATACTCTTGAGTCTGAAATGATAGATAGATAGATAGATAGATAGATAGATAGATAGATAGATAGATAGATAGATAGATGGATGGATGGATTGATGGATGGAGCATTCCATTCTTTAAGCACTTACTATGTACTGAATCCTGTGCAAAGCTTTAGAGATGCCAAATCAAGGCGGCCCCTACACCAAGGAACTTCCATTCTAACAGGGAAAGACATGACTGAAAGGGGAGCTGGGAAACAGAGGGAAGGACATGGCAACCAGTGTGGAGGTGGGTCAGGCTGGCAAGTGAGCTGGAAGGGGAAAGGGGCACCGAACTAGAACCAAAGACCCTTATGGCTGAGTGCTCTCCCAATGGGGGACCCCTGGATCCACATTTGCCTCAGCTGGTTTGGTTTAGCACTCTCTTGCCCTGACATGTTTATTTCCTACACTCCAGAACAGTCTGCCCTGTCCCCTCACCACCAAGTCACAGAGCTGCAGAGTAAAATCTATTCATCTGGCCCAGTCTCATTATCAATCACTCACTCCATCAGCAAGGATTTATTAAGCTTTTCTATGCTGAGTATTGGAGATAAAGCCAAAGAGAGCCTCTTGCCCTCAAGGAGCTTACACTCTAATGGGGAGACAACACATACACGTACAAGAACATGTCTCTACCAGAACAAAACCTGCCCATATCTGCCCACTCTGTGCCACCCCTGCCCATGCTCTACTTTATATCCACTACCCAGGGACCCAGCCCACGTGCCAGAGCCTTCCCTGCATGCCCATGACATTGGAAAGGATCCCATGGAGCACTTACTCTGTCCTTGGGACAGCCCTTGCTCTTGTCCCATGACCAGGCCATCTTCTTTTGGGATAAGATATTTCTGTGATGCCACCCTCCCTTCCTTCCTACCCTCCTTCCACCTCTTTTGGCTAATTTCTTATCTCATCAGGCTCCTCCCCATTGGCCTTTGAAAGCTTCTCAACCTAAATTGTTCCGGGACTCTGATATTCCATGACTCATAGCCAAATAGCGTCACTGGAAGAATATTAGTATTAAGAAAATGGGCCTTTGTTTCCAGGAGAGAGATCATTACAAGAACTTTGTAATTTCCCAAAGGCCCAACCCGTTCATCTCCTGCTATTCAGCTTTGGACCCAGCCTGCCCATTTGCAGGGTTTATCTCCGGCATATTGGCTCAACTGGAGAATGCAGCGCCACAATCCATCCTGGGTTCATAGGCACTTATCAAGCCCCCACTAAGTGCCAGGTGCAAAGGGTATGGAAACAAAAGGAGAAGCAGCCCTTGCCCTCTTGGACCTCCCATCCTCATTCCTGATCACCTTGACTTGGCCTCCCTTATGTGCAGGGATTTAGAGTTCACAAGGTATTTTCAGACACATTTATCTCATCAAATCCTCAGGACAGCACTTATAAGGAAGGCAGAGGAGACAACATTATTCTGTCTTAACAAACAAGGAAACCAAGGCTCATAGAGGTTAAGTGACCTGCCCAAGGTCACACAGTCAGTGGGTGGCAGAATCAGGACTCTTGGTGGCTCTCAGGTCCTTTTCTCTACCCACAAGTAACTCTGAAACCTGGGAGGATGAGGTGTCTCATCCTCATCCTTGTTGGCTGCCTAGATACATACTTCTCTGATCTCAGTAGGGAGAAACTCTGCCCTTGACCCAAGGTTTCTTTTTGGTTTTTCAACCCTAATAAGGATCATAGAATCACACTTGTAGAATTAGGAGGGACCTCAACCTCTTCATTTTCCAGATAAGGAAACTGATGCCCATGGAGGCAAAAAGGACTCAGCTGAGGTCAAAAAGAGAGGAAAGCCTTTGGCCCACGGAGCATCCCCATGATGACAAGGACTCACTTGCACCAGCCAGAAGGCTGCCGTGGTTGTCTGGACATTCATCTGGCTCTTGGAATCAGTTGGATCCCTTGCCAGACATAAAGATCAGTCCCTTCATCCTTCAGAGGATGCCTCTGATGCAGCCCAAGGTGGCATCAGCTTTTATGGCAACCGCGTCACACACTGCTGCCTTTTATGGAGCTTGCAGAACTCTAAAACACCCCTAGACCTTTTTCATGTGGCCTTTTGTACAACCATATCTCCCTTATCCTGTGCTTGAAAGGGGGGTCATTTTTATGTCAACTACAGGGAGGAGACATGATGTGGGCTGAACATCATCTCACCCTCACTAACTAATTATGTAACCATGGGCAAGTTCTTCTGCCCTCTGGCTCTGAGTTCTTTCTCAATACAATGATGAGGCCAGAGTAGATGACTCTCATATTCCTTCCAACCTGGACCTCCTATAACATTAACACGTCAACAGAGCCTTGATGGATTTGGCATTGATGCCAACCGTAGCCCACCCACACCTTCTTCTCCTGCATACTTCTTGTCCTGGTGTTCCCATAGATTTTCCATAGAGGGCCCTCCCAACATGGTGGAATCCTTCCTCTAGTTCTCTGAATATTTCAGAATTACACAAAAGCTCCGAACCTAATCAACAGAAGAGACCTGGGCAAACATGTCATTCACACCATACCTAACACAAGGTCTCCCCTCCACAACACACCTGGCAAATGGTCATCCGGCCTCTGCCTCAACAGCCACAACAGGCACAACCACAAACTCATGCTAATACTGATAGCTCACATTTATGTAGCCCCTGGTGTCCCAATTAGCTCGATATGCATGATTGGATCGGGAAATCTCCAGTGAGGGAGAGCCCACCACATCTTGGCAGCCCGTTCCCCTTTGGGACACTCAATGTTAGGAGGCTTTCCCAGGCAGCACGCTTAAATTGCCCTCTTTGCCACTTCCCCCTACTCTTCTCATTCTTCAGTCTGAAGCCAAAGAGAACAAGTCTAATCTCTTCTCACTGGGCAGCCCTTCAAATACTTGGGGACAGGCTTTTCTTCTCCAGGCTGAACATTTGTTTCTTCAACTGATCACTCACAAGGTATGGACTTGAAGCCCTTTCCCCAACCTGGGCGTCCTCCTCATGGGTGCAGGTGTGTCACTAAGATGTCCTGAGCTGGAAGTGACCTCATACGCCAGCCAGTCCAGCTCCTTCAGCTTATGGATGAGGATTGTGAAACTTAGGTAAGTGGCTTGCTCAATGCCTCACAAGCAGTAAGGAGCAGAGCTGAGATTTGAACCTGGCTCTTCTGACTCCACAGCCAACACTCTTCCCAATGAATTGTAATGCTTAGTTGACCATTATCACTAGGCAATGTCAAGGAAATCATTCTAAAGTAGTGTCACAATTGAAATTAAGGTAAACTGAGGCACAAAGTTCCAAGCACATCCAATTTATTGGTAAGGCTAGCAATTATGAATAAAGTGGGTCATTCAACTTCTTGTCCAACCAAAAGATCATGAAGTTGGGGAAGTACAAGAGCACAAAGAGCAGGAAGCGGATGGAAACAATATGGTGGTTTACAAAGTCTGAAGTATCATAGATGGTGGAAAACAAGCTGAATGGATGGAAGTCTGGAATGCAGGGCTAGCAGCAGCCCCTCCCTTCCATCTTGTTACGATGGAGAGCTCGTTGGTGGTGTCCACCTGCGTGGTTCGTTAGTGTCATCTCGATAACAGAGCAGACTTTCTTGAGGGACGGCCAGTGTGGCAGAGATAATAGGCCAGACGCCCAGGCCAGCATCCACCTGCATCTTGCAAGGCTTATTAGTGACATAACAGATCTCCCCTAATTGTGCATGGGCAATAAGATGTGGAGAGATATTTCTTTGGTGATTTAGGGAACAACTTAGCTCAGAGAGGAAAGCTGAACTGAGCTTAACTCAAAGACAAAGAAGTGTGGCTTGGGCAGCTGCAAAATACTCAATGACAGAATGGAATCAACTATAAAATACTCAATCAAGATCTGATTTTCTCAGTAGTTAAGACTTGGGATTTGGGCTTGCACAGGGTCCAACTCCGTCCTCCACAGAGACTAGCTAGCGTACAAGTGGCAGCCAAGGAGAGCTTTGTTCTGGTCTGTGCTGGTGGAAGCCTCCATCTGGAGGCACATTCATACAAGCCTCTTTTCTTTACAGATGCTGGTTTGGCAAAGAACCAGGGAACTATGTTGACTACATCTATCAAGGCCCAGTGATTCTGGTGCTCCTGGTAGGTCCATGAGGAGAATGCATTAAACATGAACATCTAAATTATGTCCCAATGGTGTCCGACATCTGAGCAAAGGGAAGTGAGGAGTCAGGGGAGGGAGCTTCCCACTCAGGTTAGGTTGTCCTAAGGGCTGAAGTCATGAGCTCAGACGTTGTGCTCCCTGATTTGGGTTCTGAGTGGGAGGCTGACCAATCAGTTAGTCAAAGATATATTGAGCCCCTAGAGGAGTGTGCTAAGCCTTGAAATAGATGATTAATCATGCTGACCCTGTCTCTGTCTCTCGCCTCCCTCCGCCTTCCTCCCCTTCTCTCTGTCTCTGTCTCTCTCTTTCTCTGTCTTTCTCTCTCTCTCTTGCTCTGTCTTTCTCTCTCTCTCCTTCTCTGTCTCTCTTTGCCTCTGTCCCTCTCTGTCTCTCTCTGTCTCCCTGCCATATCACTCCACTAAAATTGTCTTTAGCTTACTTAACATTAGTCCATGAATCAATGCTCTCTAGATCTTGTAATCCAACCAGGTCCTAAGTCACTAAACTGTCCTCTCTCTCCATCTTGTCCACAAGGATGTCATGAGAGACTTCATCGAATGCTTCGCTAAAATCTAGGTAAATCATATATCCACTCATCTGCCAATCTAGTCCTCCCTGCTAAAAGTGGAAACGAGGTTTCTCTAGCTTGATTGTTCTTCATGAACCCATGTGCTCATGATTCACTCGTTGACATCATGTTCTAGTATTTTCCAGGGATTAAAGCTGAGCTCCCTGGCCTTGGCTTTGCTCATGACATGTTCTCCTCTTGGAAACTTGAGATGTTTGCCCACATCCAGGTCTGTTCTGCCTCCCTGGTTCTCCGGAACTCCTCCAAGATCACTGGCAGTGACTCAGAAATCCTGCCTGTTGGTTCTCTCAGTGCCCTAGGATGTGGTTCAGCTGGGCCAGGTGATTTGAAGAGTTTTAGGGCAGCTAGGCATCCTCTTACCATCTCCTCACTGATCCTGGCCTCGCTTCACAGACTCCCAACATGTCTTGGGGAGGGACCTCAGAGGTGAGGGCTTCTAGTCTGACATGTGCCTGAGCAGGCTTCTCCACTGCAACATACCTCACACATCATCATCCAGCCTCAGTTTGAATACCTTCAGTGACAGGGAGCTCACTATCTCCTGGACCATTCTGGCTTTGGACAGCTCTCACATTGAGCCTAAAAAGGCCTCTTTGTACTTTCCCTCTCTTCCTCTCTCTTAACTTCATTGCCATTTTTGTTCCGTTGTTTCCATTTTGAAAGTCATTGTTCTTGATTGAGAAAACTGAAGAAACTTGGGTGCTGGTGGTCCTAATGCCTGTTTATGTATCATCACTGAATTTGGGACCAGAAGAGCCCTGAGAAATCATCTCACCCAATGGTCTTTTTATATAGGAAGGAAAACTGACACCCAGAGAGGTCAGACTAACTGGCAGGCATCACACAGCTGAAAAGTGGCAGAGCTGGGGGTGGATGCTCATTAGCCGACACCCCACTGCTCAGTGCACTGTTCTCAGCCCCAGGCCCACACTGAGGCCCCAGGAGAGCTAAGCAGTGTTCATTTCCAAAACTGACATCAGTCCAGCACTTCCTGTGCCATCCCTGTAGCCATCTCTCCTCTCCTTTCTTCCTCAGACTCCCTCGTGACGGACCTACCAGACTTTCCCCTAGAGAGCCCTTCCTTTTGTTCTGGGCTTGGGAATCTGCTTCCCAGTTGTCCACCCCATCTGGCATTTGCCTCTTTGCCTCATGAATGCCTGGGCAATGCAGTCACCTTCCTCCCTCTCCATCACCTTCATTGCCACTTCATGCCCAAGGCTGATGGGTTAAGTTAAGTGCAGAATAGTGCCCCTCATCTCTGTCTCTATCTTATTCAATTGGAATTGCTGGTAAGGCAGGCAGGAATTTCTCGTGTTTTCTGCTTCCAGCAGAGAGAATTCTTTGGCTGGACGATACTGGGCAAGGCACTCGACCTGTATGACTCAGTTCCTGCATTTGTAAAATGGCAGTGAAAATATCCATGCTACTGACCTCACTTGGTTGTTCTGGGAAATGAGAGCTATTTCCCCCGTCTACCTGGAGCATCCTTCCCTCATGCCCCACATAGCCCTAACCCTTCTGCTTCTCCCTTCTGGAATCTACACACACTCACCTTCACCCTAAGGGCTGAATGGCATCATATGGATGGAACTAACAGTGGTGGGGTGTGATGGAAGGGGAAGATAGGGTGGGAATAGGGAGGGTGGTGGGCTTTGCTTTAGCTTGGAGGAAAACTTCCCCAAGGAAAGTATATTTTGGGTGCCTCCCACTTTTCTTTTTGGAGACACAATTGCACCATCATAGGTAACCAGAACCTTCACACTTCAGCTGCCAAGGGTCACCCATTTGGTCCCTTCCCAGACCTGCCCTCTAAGAATAGCATTCAGGGGCAGCTAGGTGGTGCAGCAGATAGAGCACCAGCCCTGCAGTCAGGAGGACCTGAATTCAAATCCAGCCTCAGGCACACAACACTTATAGCTGTGTGACTCTGGGCAAGTCACTTAACCCCCAATTGCCTTGCCAAAAAAAAAAAAAGAACAGCATTCAAAGCCCCATCATCCAGCTCATTCATCTGCTATGATGAATGTCATCAAGTGTCTGTCCCCTTAGGTGACCATAAGCTAATGTGATCAATTATTGCAGAATCACAGACATAAGGGTTATGAAACTATATAGTCATACTCACACCTGACCCAGAACCCTCTCTACAAGAACCTCAAGTGGCCATCCAACCTTTGCCTGAAGATGCCTAATGATAGGAAACTCAGCACCTGGAAAGGTAGCCCATTGCACTTGAGGGTGCTTCTAATTTTTTGACAGTTTTTCCTAATATCAAGTCTAAATCTGCCTTTATGACTTCTACCCAGTGATCCTAGTTCCATCCCCTGGGGCTAAGCAAAACAAGTTCAACAGCGAGTCTACAGGGCAGCCCTTCAAACCCACCTACTCCTACCCCAAAGCTTCTCTCTTCCGGACTAACCATATTGAGTTTATTCGGACAATGCTTTTCTGGCATGATCTCTAGGCTTGTTGCCGTCTTGGCCACCCTCCTCTGCACACTGTCTAGCTGATCAACGTCCTATTAGCCATTTTTTTCCCAGTCCAATGGCTATCCTTCTTGGCAGAGAAGACAGAAGGGATATCAGAATGAGCTGGCTTTATCTTCTTTCCATCATCAGTTCTTAGTATCCTGTCCTCTCAGAGCTTCAGCCCTGTCCCTTCTCTGATCCTTTCTCTTTCCCCGGTTTCTCTTACATATGCCTTGTTTATTTTTCTCATGCTTCCTTTCTAGCCTCAGTCCATTCTGGGCAGAGGTACTTCCATGATTCCAACAGTACCATGGCACAGCTCATATTCATCCACCACTACCTGCCATCACTTTCACTTTCTGTTTTTAAAATCTAAGTAGGTTGATGAGTGTCCCATTTATACACATTGGCCTTAGTCACAACTTCTGACTTATGCTCCCTATCATAGTCCTTTCTGTTCTTGATAAAACTGGATCCAGCTTCCCTTATAGACCTTTGAGCCAGGGAATTCAATTCAACAAATAGTTATCAAGCACCTACTATGTTCTAGATGCTAGGGATACAAAAACAAACCAGAAAGACCCTGCCCTTTCTCTAAACTCTTTGAATTCTGATCTTCCAAAATCTAAAGTGCATCTTAGACTGTTCCTGGCTTGCTTCTCCTTCAATCTCACAGATTCTAAAATGGAATCATTTCTAACCCAACAGCGAGTTCTTTCTTATTGGTCAGAATCAGATCCAGAATAGCAGTTTCCATTATAATTTCCTCCACCTTTTAAAAAGCGAAAATGGTGTTAAGCTAAATCAAGAATTTGTTAGATGGTCTGATTTTGGAAAAAAGGGAGAACTCCAACAGATAATGGAGAATTGAAGTCCTCCACATCTATCTTATCAGCCCACTATGCCAGATTTATGATTTGTTTACAGATATCTCATCTACTTCCTCCTTCTGTTCAGGTGGTCTCTAGTACGCCCCAATGACATGACAATGCTTCCCTTTTTCCTTTTGCCAAGTCAACAAGTCAAGTGAACAAGTACTTATCAAGCACCTGTTGTATTAAGCACCAAGCACTGACTAAACAAGGTCGTTCGATGGCTCAGTGGGTAGAGCAATGGACCTGGAGTCAGGAAGATTCATGTTCATGAGTTCAAATCTGGCCTCAGATCCTTAGACTGAAGGTGAGGAGAGGGGTCAGAGCTTGATAAGCAGATCTGAGAATCATTAGAAAGATTACAATTGAAGCCACAGGAGCTGATGAAATCACCGGGTGAAATAGTAATAGAGGGAAAAGAGATGAGGGTGCAAGACATAGCCTTGGAGGACACTCAGGGTTGGTTAGTTTGACCCGATTGAAGACCTAGGAAAGGAGTCTGAGAAGAAGGTAGGAGGAGAATCAGGAGAGAATCATGTTACAGAACCCTAGGAAGAAGAGCAGTGTTCAGGAGAAGGGGGGGGCTGGACAATATCAACAGCAGAAGAAAGATCAGGAAGGATGAGGAGGGGGAAAGGCCATTGGACCTGGTGATCATGTGATCCTCGGCAACTTTGGAAAGAGCAGTTTCAGTTGAATGATGAGGTCAGAAGCCAGATTGCAGAGTCAATGGAGAGCGAGAGGACAGGAAGTAAAGGAACCCATTACAGATGGCCTTCTCAAGGGGTTTAGCTAGAAAAAGAAGGAGAGCTATGGCATGAAAGCTAGTGGGGTCGGATGGACCAAGGTCCCTTGACACCAGTGCTCTTCAATATCTGCCTGATCCTGGTTCATGGATTTCCTCACATGCATATGTGTGTGTGTGTGTGTGTGTGTGTGTGTGTGTGTGTGTATATATATATATATATATATATATATATATATATATAGACGTATATAATCTCATGAGGCTACTGACCTCCTCCACATTTCTTTTCTATTCCATTGAG